ATAACAGTAGATGACACCCATTTGGCAGAAACAAAGGTTGAAAGGCATCGTTTTCACATCTAAAAATACTGTAAGTTATATTTTAGGTATAGTTTTAGTCTGTAGTAATTATAATTAGATTTATATAAGCGTGTTATATAAGAAGTGTGTGTTAAATGTGAATGCATAACAACACTCATTCAATAATATGTGACCCTGGACCACAAAACCAGTCATAACTGCTCAACTATTGACTGTACTGGACTGTTTCGATCTGATTCAGAACATTAACTTTCCAACTCACACTCATGGTCATACACTTGATCTGGTCTGTACATCTGGTTTGAATAATATCTCCGTCAGTGGTCTGGCTATTCCTATCTCTGACCACAAGCTTATTATTTTTGATTTTACATTAATCTGTCCAGCCAAATGCACTGATAACATAACTATTTCATATCGTCATGTAAATGCTGTTGATACCAGTACATTCTCTGCTTCTGTTGCTTCCTCTGCTGTTCCTGAAGTTTTACATTTTACCTGTCCATCTATGATTTATGATATGTACCATTCTCTTATTTCTAACATCCTGGATGAGTATGCTCCAATTAGGACCAGGTCTGTTCCCATGTCTCACTCCTGTCCTTGGTTTAATGCAGAGCTTCGTGCTATGAAAGCAAAAAGCAGACAACTTGAACGTCTTTTTAGGAAAACGGGTTTAACTGTCCATTATCTTGTTTATTCTGATTACATCAAGAACTACAAAACTGCCTTGAATGCAGCCCGCTCTTCTTATATCTCCAGCATCATTAACAAAGCTAAAAATAGGCCTAAAGCACTATTTAGCATGGTAAACAAACTAATCCAGGCACCAAATCATAGTATCAGCCAACATGAATCTGAAGATTTGTGTTGTACTTTTTTGCACCACTTTCAGGGAAAGTTAGATGTTTTATGTGGGACTTTTGATGAGGAACCGACTATTTCTAATTGTGAGCAAACTCTCAGTGTTACAGCACTATAGATACAGTGCTAGAGGTTTAACATATTTATAGACCATGATAGTTACCATAGTAAATGATGCATATATCAAAGTAATATATCAAATAGTAATATATCAAAAACATGGTATGGTAGTACAAAAATATTTACGGTAGGCCTGCTTTCTGAGATGATTATGTTATGACTCGGAGTTCAAGCTGTCAATAATAACAATACAGATAAATGCTGACAAGCAGACTAGAAATCATTTTGACCCTACATACCGGAAATTATTTTGCCAACAGTCTTAAACTACAATAAAACCTGCAAACAACTTAAAATGTCAATGTTTACATGCTGTTGTCTGAGCAAACATATACAAACATTCACACAATGTAAACATAGTCTCTCTTTAGCCACTATCCCGCTAACACTATGGCATGAACAACATTAAGCATATGTTTATAACCGATATAAATATAATTTAATGACTGCCGGGGGTGTAAAATGCCCAACACATGTGCAAGAAAAACCATATTTAATGTGTTTCAGCCTCCGTGTTGAACACATATGACAGGCAGAGCTGCTATGATAACACGCAAAATCTAGCATGCGCAAATAAAGCGACGTTAACGCTTGTTGTTTGGTTAATTTTCCCTGCAGTACTCACTGATCTGGTGTGCTGTGTTTATTTGTGATCAGCAGATTTTGTTGTTGGGCTCTCCTCTTTAAATGTGTCTACAGTCACTGCCTTTAACTACAGAAATACAACAAGCGGCAGGATGGCCATGAAGAGATCAAATGGGCGGGGCTTGGTGGCCCGAAGGCCGGCTCTCATTGGTCAGATACGATGGGTTTATATAATAATTTTCTAATCTTATCTAGTCTCTGTCTGTTCTTGTGTCAGCATCTTTTATATTTTCTAATGCCGTTATTTATGTGTAAATTATTGTCCGGGATGCTGCTACAAGTATTTCTGAGACGGTTGACACGCGCTTTTTAGGATGGACCAATCAGAGACGTTTTACTTAAAACATCATAAAGAGTTCTGCAAGCGGTTTTGTACGTCAAGTGTTTATATAATTCAGTGTACAACATTCTCCTATAACACGAAAAGATTTCAATACGATGTATTAGGGGAAGCGGCATTATGAGCCATGAAGAGCCCCCTGCTGGAATTTAATAGTGTGACTCGTGGGAAACAGTTATTAGCAATTCTTTTAACACATACTATTCACGGCTATGGAGCGCGTTTTAGGACAAAATACGTTTAGACATGAACGAATGCGGAACATAAAATCCATAAAAGACCACTGGGCTGCAAATGTTTTCGGATAACGTAACTGTTTCCTATGTGTATAATTCTCTAGGAGACGCTTGGGGGATAAAAAAGCCGAATCCTCAGACGAATTTGTCTTATTTGGAAACATTTGTGTGTTAAAAACGTATATTGAGTTAAATCTATTAATCATCCGTACCTGACATGCACATTAAAATTCGTTCCACTCTGCATTTGATTAAATTAGGAAATCATTAATCACAAGAGACTGTGATTGGCCCACCGTCAACAGCGGTGGGAAAAGTAACAGTTGTCACATGACTCTTCACCAATCGATTAATTTAAAATGCACAATAAAATGTTATGGAAAATTATGACATTTGGACGTATCATATCTATAAAGTTAGCAACAATATCTAGAATGATAAGAGCTGACCGCTTCAGATATTCATAACTGTAATAAACATGCATGCACATTGTAGCGAAATTTCGCATGCAAAAAAATCCATATTGTCAAGTGTAGCTGTGTATGAAACAGCTTAAACATAAGTCAGTTTTAACCAAGCACCTTGCAAAATCTGTGAAGGAAAAAATTTCACATGGACTGGATTTTGCTGGCAAAGTCAGTATAACAGTAGAATAACAGTAGATGACACCCATTTGGCAGAAACAAAGGTTGAAAGGCATCGTTTTCACATCTAAAAATACTGTAAGTTATATTTTAGGTATAGTTTTAGTCTGTAGTAATTATAATTAGATTTATATAAGCGTGTTATATAAGAAGTGTGTGTTAAATGTGAATGCATAACAACACTCATTCAATAATATGTGACCCTGGACCACAAAACCAGTCATAACTGCTCAACTATTGACTGTACTGGACTGTTTCGATCTTATTCAGAACATTAACTTTCCAACTCACACTCATGGTCATACACTTGATCTGGTCTGTACATCTGGTTTGAATAATATCTCCGTCAGTGGTCTGGCTATTCCTATCTCTGACCACAAGCTTATTATTTTTGATTTTACATTAATCTGTCCAGCCAAATGCACTGATAACATAACTATTTCATATCGTCATGTAAATGCTGTTGATACCAGTACATTCTCTGCTTCTGTTGCTTCCTCTGCTGTTCCTGAAGTTTTACATTTTACCTGTCCATCTATGATTTATGATATGTACCATTCTCTTATTTCTAACATCCTGGATGAGTATGCTCCAATTAGGACCAGGTCTGTTCCCATGTCTCACTCCTGCTATGAAAGCAAAAAGCAGACAACTTGAACGTCTTTTTAGGAAAATGGGTTTAACAGTCCATTATCTTGTTTATTCTGATTACATCAAGAGCTACTAAACTGCCTTGAATGCAGCCCGCTCTTCTTATATCTCCAGCATCATTAACAAAGCTAAAAATAGGCCTAAAGCACTATTTAGCATGGTAAACAAACTAATCCAGGCACCAAATCATAGTATCAGCCAACATGAATCTGAAGATTTGTGTTGTACTTTTTTGCACCACTTTCAGGGAAAGTTAGATGTTTTATGTGGGACTTTTGATGAGGAACCGACTATTTCTAATTGTGAGCAAACTCAGTCTACCCAATCATTGACTACCTTTACCTTAACAAATCCATCTCTAATTGCTGATTTAATACAGAAATCGAATTCCTCTTCAAGCCGACTAGACCCTGCACCTACTTTTCTCCTGAAACACTGTATCCCTGTTATTTCTGCCCCAATCTCACACCTCATCAACATGTCTTTCATTTCTTCCACTGTTCCTATCTCACTCAAGACTGCTGCTGTTACTCCTATTCTCAAAAAAC